AGGGGGTCACCCCAGGACTCTGCGGGGTGGCCATCCCTGGAGAGAGTGATGTGGAGGGCGGGGCGAGAGGGCATCTGGGACCCCTGGAGTGCCCCTCCCCCCAGCGCTGCTGGGATCCGGTGGAACTGGGGCCCCGGAGGTCACCGAGCTGCCCCCTCCCTCCAGTCGTGGGACAGAGGGAGGGAGTAGCTGATTTCCAAAGACATTTCTCCCCATGGAATCTGGACAATTTCCCTGGGGAGCTGCAGCAAGAGAAGGTCTCTGCAAACAGATTCCAGGCAGATAAGTTGGCATTTAAAAGAGAAAAGGACACTGACCTCCTTTGAAGGGAGGAGGAGACAGGAGACCGCCCCACCAGTCCCCTGGTTGGGAGGCCACAGAAGCCCAGGAGAGCCTGGGTGTCCCTGCCTGACGGATGCCCTCTGCTCCTCCTCCCCAGACGACCAGAGCCCAGCCGAGGAGAAGGGACTGCGCTGCCAGCACCCGGCCTGCATGGACAAGGGGCGGGCCGCCAAGGTAGGGAGGCTGGACAGCCGGGGTACTGGGGCAGAGGGGACAGGGCTCACACTGCCCTTTTCATCCAAGCCCCGGATGTCCATGGAGCCCTGGCAAGGGCACTGCAGCTGGGCAGCACTGTCCTCTGGATTCAGAGGTGGTAGGGCCACAGGGGCTGCTAATAGGGCAGAGGGGCTGCTCCTGGCTGAGGAAAAGCAGAGTCGGGGCACTTCTGAAGAACAGAGAGCAGCCTTTGGCTGCACTGGGGTTCCTGCAGCCGACCTGAGGGGCTGCAGCCCTGTGTCACAGAAGTGGTCCCCAAGGTTTTGTTCCAGTGACCCCTAAGGGACTTGATGAGCATGACTGTGGCCATGGGGATGCTAAAGGGAAGAGGGGGGACAACTGGTCTTGGAGTTTGAGGGCTCAGGATGGTGCAGAATGTGAATCAGGGAAAAAGGGGCCAGGAAGAGGGGTAAGTGCAAACATAGTGCCTGGGCCCTTCTGCTTACCCACACTGGGCTCTGCGCCACATGCTTTCTGTGCCTATGCACTGCTGTGGCAGCTCTGCAGGAAGGTATTGTAACCCTGTTTTGCAGATGAAGATACCAAGGTTCAGAGAGGTCCTGTGGATTGGCTCAAGCCTCATAGCTCATGAGAGATGGAGCCAGCCATTGAACCATGTTTTAGGCACCCTCCTCCCACATTTTGATGACAATAGTAATAATTGCTGCAACCCACTGAGTTGGGCCCAGACTCTAAGGACGCACTGAATTTTCTCTTCTGAGATGGGTTCTAACCACATTCCCATGTAGAGATGGGGAGACTGAGGCTCAGGGAGGTGAAGTGGCTACCCAAGGAAAGATGGCCAGCAAGCAGGAAAGTGGGACTTGAACCCAGTGCCTAGGTCTGTAATGCCAGAGCCCATGTGCCTAACTACTCTGCAGCTTAGCCCTGCCAGCTGCAGGAAATTTGAAATGCCACCCCTGCCACCCCCCCTCCCCACCCCCCCACCAGACACATGCACATTCATCTTGTACAGGAGGACCACGGTTAGAAGGAACATGGAGGACTGTTCTGGGGGCGGGGAGAGGAGGGGGTTGCCTCCAGTTGCCGTGGTCACCGGGCACGGGGGCGGCTGTGATGTCAGATACAATCTGCTGGCTGGGATGGTGCCTGGCACTGGGCTCTGGGGCTGGCTGGTTGCCTCTCCCCCAGATGGGGGCTCCTGGCAACACACTGGCTCTGCTCCCCACAGCACACCTCCTGCCAGGGCTCCAAAGCCCTGAGGCCTCTGCCTGACCTCAGGGGTGACAGTAGGGCAGAGGCACAATGTTCCAGTTCCTCCCCTGGGCCCTGCTTCCAGGGCAGGTCCCCAAGCGGCTGTGGACAGGGATAAGGGTGGGAGGACCCAGGCTCTGAAGAGATGAGGCCTCTGAGAAGAGAGATGTTTGGAGGGGCCCGGGGCTCAGCAGCCTCTAGATCCCAGCAGCAGCTGCCACAGGGTCGTCCAGTCTGCAAAGGGGGAGTCTGAGCCCTGTCACTTCTGCGACCCCCATGAGCCAAGTGCTACAGACTGATTTCAAGAAGAGAGATGCCTGAGTGATCAGAGTCAGGGGGCCAGTCTGGGAGGACATCTTGGAGGAGGGGGCCTCTGGTGGTAGTAGGAACAGGGATTGGCAGAGTGGGAGGGGGGGACAGGGGGTGGGGGAGCTGCCACAAATGCACAGGTGGAGGATGAAAGGAGGCCAGGGACACTGGGGTTTTGTGAAGAGCAAAGAATAATTTTGGGTGCAGTGGTGTACCCCTGTAATCCCAGCTACTTGGGAGGCTGAGGTAGGAGGATTGAAAGTTCAAGGCCAGCCTCAGCAACTTGGTGAGACCCTGTCTCAAATGAAAAAATAAAAAGGATTGAGGATGTCGCTCAGTGGTGGAACACCCCTGGGTTCAATGCCCAGTACAAGAGATAAATATATACATCAATACCATTGGCGATAGAACCTGTTACTGCCGCCAGGCAGGGTGTTAGGCCTTTGAACTGGTTGCATGAATCTCATGAAAGACTCAGGGAAGAAGCATCACCCTTATTACCTTGTACCTGTGAGGAAACCAGGGCCCAGAGAGGGGAAGGAACCTGCCCACCCGCACAGCATGACCAGCAAGTTCACCTACAGGGAGACTTGAACCATTCTTAACGCTCTCCATCCACTCAAGGAATGGCTAGCAGGAAGGGCCATCTGCAAACAGGGTGGGACTCGGGAGGTTCTGTTGGACTCCCCTGGGTGCCTGGACTTCTCAGATGGATTAGCTGCCCCACCCCTACCTCCTGCCCCTGGAGTTCACAGTGGGGTGGGATGGGCGACCAGGATGGGATTCCTGGGAAGAGGAGGTAAAGAGGTGAAGGAAAGTGAGAAGAGTAGGGGATGGGGACCGGGGGCCATAAATGGCAGGTGAAGCCAGGGGCCACGGGGAGGGACTTGAGGAGAGGGAGGCAGGCTGGGCCAGGAGCACCCTGTATGTCCAGGTGAGAGGTCTGAACTGCATGCTCCAGAGACCCCAGGAGAAAAGTGGTGTCCCTGCCTGTCTCCAGGACGAGGATACGTACAGCAAGTCACACCTGTGAGCTCCAGGATCAGCCCTACACCTTGCAGCTGTGTGGCCCTGGGCACGTCATTATACCTCTCTGAGCCTCAGTTTCATCTGGAAACAGGCATCAAACTTTGGTGTTGAGGATTAAGAGAGACCCATAGAGAGGGCTTTGCATAGAGCATGCCATAGATATTCACGGAGCACCAATTGTGAGCACAGAGCTCATCCTCAGCATGGGAGAGAGTCACCCCTAGACTTTGGGGTCACCACATTTGAAGGGACAAAAGACTTGAGGGGGTTGGCCCTGTCGGGCATAGTGCTCCCACAAAGGTAAGATCCTAGCAGCCATGGTTGTTCAGTGCCCACCACGAGGCACCAGAGGAGCACTTCCAGGCCTCCTCCCACCCAGGCAGGAGGGACCATGCCTTCACCACTTTATAATGGAGGACCCCAACAGCTGGATGGAGTGCCCGACGACCAGGCTCTACCTGGTCTGCCGGCCCTCGGCGTTCCCATTCCCAGGGAGTAGTCAGGGGGCAAGGGAGGTGACTTTTCCTCCTTGGCTCCCAAGGGGGTGGTGGTGGGGCACTAGTTCTGGTTGATATGGGGAGGAGTTTCCAGCATCGCCTGCGGCTGCCCCTGGGCACATTCAAGCAGGTGGCACCGAGAGGCCTGGGAGTTCCCTTCCAGCACAATAGGGCAAGGGCAGGGATGAGAGGGGTCCACGGGGTGTCAGATGAAGGCCAGTGGGCTCTGGGCAGAGAGAAGCCGCACAGGACGGGCCTATTGTCCCGACAGTGCTTTGCCAGGAAAAGACAGAAGACCAGGTGCCCCTGGGAATAGCCAGGTTGGGGGAGCTTTGGGAGTGGCTGGTCCCTCTAGATGCCGACAGCTGTAGCCAGGCTGTGGTCTTATCTACCTCTGAAGGGGCTGGGCCTAGGTAATTTTGGGGACCAGGAACAAAGGAAGGCCTGGGGCACCTGGCTCATCAAGCAGGGACAGAGGAGACCGCTGCCTTTCTGGGGTCCAGCCCCAAAGAGTCGGCGTGTGCTAGGAGGGTCCTGGCAGTCTGAGGTCCTGAACTGGGAAGGGGCCAGAGGGAAGGCAGAGGCTTCAAAGTGCAGGAAAAGGCTGGGGACTGAGCCCCGCCCCCGCCCCGCCCCCTCAGCCAGGAGCAGTGCGGGGAGAGGGCCCTTCCCCCAGGCCTGAGCCTGGTTTCTCTAAACTCTGGCTGCAGGGAGAGCGGAACTTCAAAGGACTGACGGCCCCCTTGCCAGCCATGCCAGGCGAGGGCCAGTTAAAAAGGAAGGGCCCCCGAGAAGGACTGCGTTTCTGGGGCACTGCAGAGGAACAGGTCAGAGAACAGCCATTGATGGAGCAGAAGGAGCCTGGCTTGGCCTGTGGGTCCCTTCGCCTGGGCCCCTGGGGAGTCCTCTGGCTGGTCAGGGCAGCTGCCTTCGCCAGCCCTCACCCCTGCACGGGTGAGCATCTGTCTTCAAGTCCAGGTTAATGACCAGGGACTTAACTTTCCGGAGATCTGTAAAGGGCTGGGCCCCTCTGGGACAGCGGTGCCTCCAACCCACTCCCCCGAGCCGGCCTCCTGCCACCATCTGGCAGGGTTCAGGCGCCTGGCCCTTCCTGGGGCCCCCGTGCACCCCGAAGTTAGCTGTGGCCTACTGCGATTTCCCTGGGTCTGTGTCCCTAGTCCTGTGGCCACTCCGGTACCCTCGCCCAGCCCCAACCACAGGCAGGTGACCTGTGTCTCTAGGTGAATCTCCCTGGATGGTGGGGGAGGGTCTGGGCACCATGATCCCCTGAGTTAATGGTCAGAATCCCAAGTCTAGGGCCCCACCAGGTTCTAATAGGGTCCCCGCTGGCTCTATTTCCATTTACTTGAGTTGGGAAGGGTCTCACTCCTGCCCCACCGACTCCAGTAGTCGGCCCAGTGGTGTGGACATGAGGAGTCTGTGGGACTGTGGCCTTGTTGGCACAGCGGGGGATCCTGGGGCCGCCTAGTCTTGTCTGGGGGTTGAGTCCAGTGCCACTTACCCAGCTCCATCAGGAAGACCCCCCCCCCTGTCAGTCCTCTAGAAGCCAGCAGGGGGCGCAAGAGGCTGCGCCTGGGATAGTTTGGGGAGATGGGAGGGGCATCCATGAACCCAGGGGAGACCTTGGCCTGTGGAAGACGGGAAAATGGGGGCCAAAAGGGTCCGTGGCCCTACAATTCCCCAGTAACCTTTCTCAGGCTTGGTGTGGCAGTTCCCTGGTGTGTATTCCCAGTCCCTGTCCCTTGGCCAGGGACACCCCAGGATCTACCATCCATCCTTATGGCCTGTGTTCTGGTCACATGGAGATTGCTGCCCAGTGTGGGAAGGGAAGGGTAGGTGGGCCCCAGATCCTTTTTACAGTTCCCTCTCAAGAAGCCTTCTGGGTGGCCCTGGGGAAGTGGGTACCAGGTGCTCGCTTGCTGCTCTCAGGGGTCTGGCACATTCCACAGGGTTCAGCAGAAGAGTTCACAGCCCCTTCCTCTTCCCTTAGCCTCCATTCTATGCCGGGACCTCCCCGGAGGACCAGGCCTGTGGGGTGGCCTAGCCTGCCGAGAGGTCTTCTGGGCCCACCTTCTGCCTTAGTAAATGCTCTGCCTCTGAATGGGTGTTGGGACCCAGAGGACAAAGAGCGAGGCCCAGGCTGAGGGAGGGAGGAGCCCGGGGCCTTGTGCAGTGAAGACAGATGCCCCGCCTGGCCAGCCTGCCCGTGCATGCGGGCTCCACCCTTGGATTTCTGAGGTGGTGGGTGTGCCTTGGGGCCAGCAGGCTCCCAGGGTAGTTGATTGCTGCTGGAGAACCCCCCCCCCCAGACAGGGGTACCCCTCCACCAGGGAGCCCCGGCTCTTGGTTGTAGGCTAGTTTGCTGTGGGTGGAATGAGGAGCTGCTGTTTGTCCCCACCCCTGACCAGCTGGATCCCAACCATCATGGGGCAGGATGCTCTGGGTTGCCCTTTGCTTTTTGGGGGCCAAGGAGCTGGTGCTAGGGGAGAATGGCCTGGGGCGGGGGATGCCTTGGAGAGCAGGGTTCCTCAGCCTTAGCATCTGGTTTCTGAGTATCAGTTTCAGCAAGCCAGCCCTGGCTGGCCTGGGCTGGGCTGGGGAGAGGCTCCCTCCCCAGGGAGTCAGGGGCCAGGACTTCTTGGGCCTGCTCAGGTACCCATTTCCCCACTTAAGTCTGCTGGCCTTGGGGCAAGTCCCACACCCTCTCCCTAGCTTATTCCTCTGTCAAGTTGGGGTAGTAACGTGTCTTCTTCCTGGAGTCTCTGAGAGGAGGAGTGGGCTTTGCATAAACTCTTGGAAGTGGTGGCACTTGGCAGTGCTCAGTGGAGGGTAGCTGTCTGCCTGTGAGGCAGGGGCCAGGGGCTGCAGCAAGATCACCAGGATTTGAAATGGAAATTTACCTGTCCAGGCCCAGCAGGCCAGAGGTCACAGATCCTAAGAGGAGGGAGAGACTCTTTGGTCTAGCAGGGGGGATGCTGTGTTGACTGATGGTCAGAAAGTGATATCCTGGTCGAGATGACCCTATCCCTAAGTTCTGCTGTGGCTGAAGAACCTTCTTTTGCCTTCATTCATCCATTCTTTGATCTCATTTACATGGAGAACACCCCTGTGGGCCAGTACCATGGGAAGACCTGAGGACACAGTGAGCCAGCTAGCCAGGATCCTGGCCTCTGTCAAGGACATCCTAGTGTGCAATAGCACATGCCTGTGATCCCAGTGACTCAGGAGGCTGAAGATAGGAGGATTGCAAGTTTAGGGTCAGCCTCAACAATTTAGCAAGGCCCTAAGCAATTTAGGGAAACCCTGTGTCAAAAATAAAAAGGGCTGGGGATTGGGGCTAGGTTTTGGCTCGGTGGTAGAGCGCTTGCCTAACATGTGTGAGGCACTAGGTTCAATTCTCAGCACCGCATATAAATAAATGAAATAAAGGTGCATTGACAATTAAAGAATATTTAAAAGAAAGGAAAAAAAAGGCTGTGGATGTTGCTCAGTAGTTAAGCACCTTTGGGTTCAATCCCTGGTACATAGGGGAAAAAAAGAGGCTAGGAAGGAATGAATTCAACTTCAGGTGACTGGGAAAAGGAAAGTGACAGTTTTGTTTTAAAAAAAATTTTTTTTAGTTGTTGATAGAACTTTATTTATTTACATGTGGTGTTAAGAATCGAACCCAGTGCCTCATTCATGCCAGGCAAGTATACTACTACTGAGCCACTGCCCCAGTTTTTTTTTTTTTTTGTGGGGGGGTGGGGGCTTGGGGAGGTAGCATTAAGTTGGAGCCCGGCTCCAGCCATTTGAAGATCAGGGGTGTGTGGGAGTTCTAGATGGAGCGTGCAGGGTGAAGGCCCCGAGTTAGTTGAATTGTTAGGGACCACCAGCAGGAAGGCCAGCCACGGTGACCATCCTCTGGGCCCACCTAGGAGGCAAAGTGGGAGGCAAGCCATGGTGGGATTTTATTCTAAGCAATTTTCAAAAGACCTGCCTGGCTGGGCACAGTGGCTGTAATCCAAGCTAGTCGGGAAGCTGAGGCAGAAGGGTTGTAAGGTCCAGGCCAGCCTGGACAATTTAGCAGTGAGCCAGCTAGTCACGGGAAAAAAATAAATAAATAAATAAAATAAATAAATAAAAAAATTTAAAGGCTGAGGATGTAGCTCAGAGGTAGACGGCTTGCCTGGCGCGTGCAAGGCCGTAGGTTCAATCCCCAAGAAGGTACACACACACACACACACACACACCACAGATCTGCCTGTGGTGTGGACAATGGATGACTTGGCCTTTGGGAGTGGGGGTGGCTCTTGAAGCCTCCTGGCCCCTGATAAACGGCTGCCCCCTCCAAACCATCTCACAGACCCTTGCTCCTCACTCTCTGCATGTATCCAGGTGGAGGAGGAGCTGTCTAGGGTGGGTGGGCTGGGTGGCCCTGACTGGGTACTGAGGAGTATCCCGAGGAGGCCATTACAGGCCTGGAGTTGAGGTCTGGTTTTCGGCCCTGCCAGTACCCTTTTAGGTCTCTGTGTCACTTCATCCCCATGTGATGAGTGGGGATAATAGTGCCTACCCGCTTCCTGGGACTGAGTGTGAAAGCGCTCAATGGGCACCTAGTGGGAACCCCGCACCCCATGCAGGCTCTGCTTGCGCCCCCTGGCGGTGGGGACCCCGCCTGGAGCAGAGGGACCTCTGGCAAAGCCGAGCTGGGCTG